CAGGGCCACTAGTGCTTCCTCCTCGGAAGCACGAGGGGGACTGGGGACGATGTGGCTATTATCTAAGTAGCTCCCAAATACCCTCAGTTTCCTCATCAGCAAGGATGAGAAGAAGGAGAGGCAGGCAAGGAGGAAAGGGGAAATAAACAAAAGATATTCATACGGTATCAGTTTCATTTGGAAGGGTAAATGGTTTTGTGCTGTGCAGACAGATACCTCTGCTCTGGTGCTGCACGTACAGCTCTTCAAATCTGTTTTATTTGTTTATTTTTTTCTGCAGTGATTCAGTGCTGTCCCTCCATCTGCACACACAAGCACCCATCTTGCACACGTCTCTCTCGCTCCCCCTCCATCGCTCCGAGCGTTTTCTGCAGCCTCTTGCGCGATCAACAGCTCATAATTGTTTTTTGCACATACGTTATGCAAATGAGTCTTTATGGCAACTGGCATAACAATTAGCATCCTCCAACAATATTTTAGTAGGTTAATTGTGAAATTTCTGAATTGTACATCTGAGTTGTTAATTAGGCATGACAGAGGTGGTGAAATAGTTATCTTCAGGCGGTGGCAGCCAGCAGAGGCTGCTTTGGATGCAAAAGGGAAGGATTGATTGAAATTAGTTTACAGCAGTAGGAGCGTGCCCCCTTTTGCTTTTTTGCAGCATTTCTTTGTCGCTAAATGTAAAAATATGAACTTGAAGCAGATCTGGAGAAGCTAGTTCAACCGCTCACCTAAAATGTTGAATAAAGATGTGAACGGCAGAACCTACTGTCTTGTCAGCACGAGTTAGCAAAGATTTTATTTTTATGCACCACAGGGGCTGCAGTCTTGTCAAAAGAGTGAGAGACCTTTGACCTGCCCAGGTAGTTGCACCAAATTTCCCCGTTTTAGGAGTTGAAATATGGAGTTGTTACTGCTTTAAATGAAGTTAATACCAAACTATAGAGTATTTCAGCCTTCCTATGAAATAAAATTGCGAAAAAAGTGAAAACTACATTTCCTTAGCATTTTTTGGCTCCAGACAAAAATAAAAAGCAACCAACCAGTGTGAATGAAACACACAGTTACAAAAAATTAAATTAACTTCTTATGCATTTATAATTAATATGCTATTATGAATTAATGTGTATCCTGATTCATCTTTATTATATTTATTTACATCTAAAAGAAACAGAGAATTTTTAAAATATGAACTGTTCTTTGAGCCTCTTGTGTTGTGATGTTCATTACAGTGTCACTCGATGGCTGAGTCTGTGTAACACCATAGAGCCGGTTATTAGTGTAAAAAGGGTTAGAGTGAAAGACTGGTGCAAAGCAAGTCCTTTCTCAGTAATGACTCGGCTATTTATAGGTCTCGATTTCATTAGCTCTAGTGTTTCAGGGAAGAGTTTTCCTCATGGGACAGTAGACACCATGATGTTCATTTACTCTGTCCACATTACATGTGGACATCTAAATG